GGCCAGTTCTGTCCTGGGCTGCTCCCTAGACACTCTGGAGGAGGTGGGCAACAGGAGGATGCTAACTAAGCTAAAAGCTATGATGGACAGTCCCTCCCACCCCCTCCAGCCCGCCCTGACAGCACTAGGTAGCTCCTTCAGCCAGAGACTGTTACACCCGCGCTGCAAGAAGGAGAGATACCGCCGCTCCTTCCTACCGACTGCTGTCAGGCTGCTGAATAAAAAATAAATAAAATGATGTGGAAGACAATTGTAAATAGCACTGCGACCATATCTATATCTGTATTTATATTGCACTTAATTGAACGGTGTTTGTTTTCTTTTCTTCTTTCTTCTTTCTCCCCATTATCTTGCTGCTGTGGACTGTAAATTTCCCCATTGTGGGACAAATAAAGGATATCTTATCTTATCTTATATTTGCTCAGTGTTTAAGACCTCATAATGCGTGATTTCGTAAAATGCTGTTGCCGTGGCAATGTGCAGTTCTCCAAGAAAAAAAACCCACAAGTTTTGAGGGTCTAAATGTGCATGAAAATTCATGTAACTTTGCACACACATTACCCATTGTAAAATCACCACTATTTGATTAAATTAGTGTGAATCTCCATTTGACGGCTCGCTTGTCCCATGAAACTTTGTACACACATCGGGCCTGACAAAATCAACAAAAATTATTATTTTAACGTGGAAAATTGCCTCACCAGTGGCCCCTAGATGTTTATAAAAAAGCGGCCCTGGTTGTACGTTTCTGCCAGATGTACGAAACGTTGCTGGTATATGAAACAGGCCAAGTCCTACAAAAACGTTTCTCTCAGCCATATGTTAAATCTAACAAGAAGGCTGCAATTTGGAATTCACTTTAAAAGTCAGTGTCGCCTTGACTACAAAAGCAGCTGCCTCTTGACCCACATGATCATTGTTGGAATAAATGTAATTCTCTTATCCCATATTTACTCTCTGTGTAACTTTAAAACCTGTTTCAGAGTGATATCTCGCAAATACCTCATATACAATGGGGTAGGTTGATAATGGTAGACTTGTCGGACCGGGAGAGCTCAGGCTGCTCCTGTTCTAGTTTTTAAGACAATATCTTGTTGTTAAGTGAACGGCTTCTGGTCAAATTAACTGTTGCTTGTGAGAAGATAACATCAACCCCAGGACACCGTGTGAGGGACATCCCAAGCTGTGTACGTGGACCATCGACATCCAGCAGGAGCTGTTTGACGACATCTCAGGAATGAACTGTGTGTTCTCATTGAAACTCTCCTTTACTGAAACTGTTGTGGAATGTGAAAATACTCCCCACTCCCGTTAGAAGATCGTGTATCAGGGACATCCTTCCAATAAATGCAAGGAGACAAACGCGCACTCTTCAGAGTTGCCCCGGAACCTGTAACGGTTTACATTGCAGAGCCAGCTGGAGAGCTGCTTTGAGATTGTGAACCGAGACGTTTTAGCCCGCTCTCTCTTGCAAGAAAGACAACTATGCCTGCCTCCTGAGTCTTCCTGTTCCTGATGTGTTCTTAGCATCTGATTACCAGCATTAACCTAACAATCACACCTTCTAAAAACCTGATGACATGAAACAAAAACAAACATGATAGATCAGGAATGAAGACCTCTACGAACTTATTTTTTGTCTTCGTGGTTGCGGCATCTACTGGCTAGGGGGTTTATATGTTGTAGTCTTTCATGTTTTTCTCTGAGCGAATGAAAAAGATTGACCGCATATTGGCTTGGAAGACTGTAAACATTGTTGTCCAATTTATTGCACCATTTCATTCGGAAAACGAAAATTAAATATGAATAAATAAATTCAAATTCAGCTCAGCAACATTAAATCAGGAGCTCAATAGATAAAAAACTTTAGTCAACAAGAGTTTTTTTTTTCGGATCAAAATGAGGAAGTCAGGATTGATGGCCACGATGAGCACATTTTGCAGTGCGCAACTTTTCCAGTGGCTTATCAGCGTGATTGAGGTGTAATGTCTTTAAGTGGCGCCTTGATTTATATGGCTTCTTGCTGGCCTCAGCCGGCATTTTTTGACTCGTCCGTCTCCCAGTGTTGTCACAGTGAAGCCAATCGCTACATACGCTTCGTCATAGCTCTTTGTCTTAACTTTGGGGTGACTTTCTTTTGTCTCGTTATTTTCGTCTCTCTCCGCACCTTCTTTTCATCCCTGTTAAAAAAAAATAACTTTCACTCCTGAGGCTTTGTTTACTGCACTTCATATCGCCTGCTCGGTGCAAAAAAAATGACACTTTTATGAAATAAAGGAATACCCTACACCATATAGCGACTATTCCCAGCGCATTCTCCAACAATGAGAGCGCCACTGCCAACTACTGTAGTGGATGTGCAATTACACTTTCTTTTATTCGGCAAAAAAGATGTTCCCAAGAGTCACCCACCCCTGCCCCTTGCCCCTGGCATCGCCCCACTATTTGAGAAGCACTGACCTAGAGCAAGGAAAATTTGGTGGCATATGTAACCGCTCAAGGTGAACAAAAAAGTCTGTCTCTTGGGAGCCATACGCTAAAGTGAACAGGAAGTCCATCATTTTGAATTTCCTTCGGCGTCGTTTTGATTACGAAGGTTCCTGTGACTTGACCCACATGCCTCGTCAATATCTGACACATATGATGAAATTAAACCCAGAGACATCTCCAAACTTAATTTTATTGTAGTGGTAGTGCCACCTCCTGGCTGAAGGAATTTTATTTATTTTTTGCTGTTGTTTTTTTTCATCGGGTTAACTAGATTTTCCTCATCTTTGCTCAGAATAGTGTTTAGACCTTCATGACGTGCAACACGAAGTTTGCGTTTTTACACAATAAGGTTTTGCCAGAAAACGACCCAATTTTTGAGCGTCTCAACTTGCACAAAAACTCATGAAACTCTACAACACATCAGGCTTAGCAACAAATTTAATGGTTTCATAGGACATTGGGAGATTTTTTTTTAAAATAAATTGCTCAACACGCCCCATTACAAAAGTTTGTGAAGCAGCCCTGGTTGTCCATCAAGATCGATTAAATTTTGGAATTACCGTATATGCAAATAGCCCAATACCTTCCAAAAAGACTCTTGGAACCTTATGCTGAAGCTCAACAGAAATAAAAGCAGATTTTTGATTAAACACAAAAGTCTGCTTTCATAAGGGATTACAGGAATCAGAGAATAATTACTGAGATAATTCTGAAATTAGATGATTTAGAAAATTGTAAGTTATACAATGGCTTGAATCGATTACTCAATTATTAAAATAGTTGATTGATTTGGTAATCGATAAGTTGTTGATGAATCGATTAATGTGGACACCTTTTGACTTGAGGCTTACTTGTGACTATGTATCTAGTTCCATCAATAGTCTGCCATATAGAAGATTGCTGATTTGACACTTCACTGCCCTAATGACACCTTGTCATTTAACTGGATTCTCAGACAGCTTATGCTCACCCTGCATCTGGACCAGGAACTCTGTCTTAATGCGGCGGGCAGCTTCACTCTCGTTCTCATTCCTGGAGCCACACAGGGAGTCCACCTCATCGATGAAAATGATGGAGGGTTTGTGCTGGCGGGCCAAATCAAACAGGTTCTTGACAAGTCTAAAAAACCCCAACAAACAAACAAAAAAGAGATGAGGATAGGTGCAAGGCTATAGCACTAGTTAGAAAGAGAGGAAACATACAATAAAAAAAAAAAAACTGTTTGCTGCGGGTGTTTGTGAAGCAGAGAAAAGGAGAGGTGAGAGTCATGCAACAATGATGGCCTGAGGGCATTTGGGGCCCGCCATACATTCTTCAGCGGCCCGCGACATGACCCCCCCCCCCCAAAAAAAAACTAAAGTACATGACATTTGACATGGGCCACAAGGTTAGTTTAAAAAAAGGTGAAGTTGGGCAGAGAAAAGGGAGGGTGTACTGTGGAACTTATATTCAAAGTTACAAATGAACCATTTATGAATAAAAGAACAACACAATTTATCTTCAAAACACTGTAGTGAATAAAGATAATTCATAGCTTTTAATCTGATGTGCCTCATTTTCAAAAAATTCTAATTCCAATGTGCCAGTGCCTCAACGTTGCCAGGGCTTCGAGGGCCCCTTATAGCTGCTCGGAGCTCTAGTTATTATTTTTACTATTATTATTATGATTACTACTGTCTGGAAAACTTGCATGGAAACTAAACGTGAAGAAAACTCACTAAACTTTGCCCACACATCGGCCCTGGCGAAAACTGTGAGTCACCATGAACAAGTACAAAAAAATGGGTCGACAATATCTCCGACAGTGGATTAATGACGCTCTGACACATGTAGCACCCTCAGACGTACAAAAAGGTGTTCCTGGTTCGGCCCGGTGATCCAGTGGTTAGTGCGTCGACCTCACAGTGCAGAGGTGCAGGGTTCAATTACGGTTCTAGCCTCCCTGCGTCGAGTCTGCATGTTCTCCCCGTGCCTGTGTGGGTTTTCTCCGGGTATTCCGGTTTCCTTCCTCATTCCAAAAACGTGTGGCAGGTTAATGGAACACTCTAAATTGTCCCGAGGTGTGAGTGTGAGCGCGGACGGTTGTTTGTCTCTGTGTGCCCTGCAATTGGATGGCAACCAGTTCCGGGTGTTCGCCTACTGCCCCAAGACAGCTCTGGTTTAGGCTTCAGCGTGCCGCGCGACACTTGTCAAGATAAAGCGGATCGGAAAATAAATGAACGAATATTCCTGGTTCTACATTTCACCTAGATATGTGAAAAATGGGAGACAAATGTTTCGGTCCAAGGTGTACATTCTAAACCTAATAGGAAGTTCACCATGTCGACTTTATATTTTAGAATTCTGTCATTTTTGGCCTTTGATAGAGGTCATATTTGAACGAAGTCCTAGGGCGGGGGTCTGCAACACGCGGCTCCAGAGCCGCATGCGGCTCTTTAGCGACATCTAGTGGCTCCCTGGAGCTTTATAAAAAATGTTTGAAAATGGAAAAAGATTTTGATAGTAGGCTAATATAGCTCAAATAGATATAGATACATGTTGCAGCTCTGAAAAAGGAGAGCTGTGGTGTTGGTTTTTTAAAACGTACACTTTATTTATGCTTTTAACAGTCTCGACAAACACAGACACGTCTGCGTCCGACTCCGTGCCTTCACTCTTCTCGTTTGACTCCAGAGGCGTTCAAAGACAGCCTCAGAAAAACGGAAATTAATGATCACTTCACTGACACTGAGAAAAGCAAAAATAATGCACCAAAAAAAAAATAATCAAGCGAGGAAATTACAAAATAAATTCGATGGGGGTGTTTGTGAACACACAACAAAGGAATGCATAACAAACAATTCTGAGACAGTCCAGTCTCCTACATACATACAGCATGTGTTTCCTTCATTGTAAGTTTTATAGAAGGCTTTTATTTTTTTGCGGCTCCAGACATATTTGTTTTTTGTTTTTTTTTGTCCTATATGGCTCTTCCAACATTTTGGTTTGCCGACCACTGTCCTCGGGATTTTATCCGATCATTTTCAAATTTGGGGTTTTTCCTCTAAACATGTTTCAGATGAAAAGACAGAGAGCTTTTCATTTTGTTGCACCAGGCTTGCCGTGGCAAAGCGCTGTTCATAAAGAAAAATTATAGTTAGAGGGTCTAAACCTGGGTGAAAACTCATGAAAATTTTCACAGACATAAGACTGGTAAATAACAGCTCAATACCTACAAAAAAGTTTTTTGGAGCCATGTAATTAAACTTAACAGACATGGGCGCCAATTTTGGCCTGTTATAGGGGTCAAATTTTAACAAACTCCTCCGAGAGATTTTATCCGATCATCTACAATCTTTGGGTGATTCATGTTAACATGTTTAAGATGAAAAGGTTATTGATAGCTTTTTATTTTGTGCAGAGATGAAAGTGGACTTTCCTGAAAATTCCGGAAAAAAAAAAAAAAACGCTATTCAAATTCTCGAAATTCAATGATTAATCTCCCTTTTGTGTGCACCCTTTGTGGCTTCCGTTCTCGCCGAAATTTCGAAATCTCAGAGATATGGTGAGGCCATGAGAATGCGAGGCGAGGGTATTACTGTTGTGGCGACGCCACTCTACTATACGGGCGTCAGCGCGACCATGAAGGC